GGCGTCCGCGAGCGGGCCGAGGCCCTGGTCCGGTCCAGCCTGGGCTCCTCCAGCAGCTCCACCCTCAGCTTCCTCTTCGGCAAGAGGAGCTTCTCCAGCGCCCTCGTCATCTCGGGGCTCTCGGCCGCCGAGGGCGGCACCACCAGCACCACGCAGACCCCTCTCCCCCCATAGTGACAGATGACAGGTCAGCCAGGAGGCGTCTGCTGCGCTGAGGCTGACAAACGTTAGTCACGCCCTGGGTAACGCTAGGCAGGCGGGTATCACAGCTCAGTCCCCAAGCCTGTGCCCACCTGGCGGTGTCCCCCCTCATCCAGCAGCGGCAGCAGGGGCCACCTCGTTCCCTTCAAACCATGCCCTGCTGAGGGACAGGGCAGGGCACACGTCAGCACTGGGTTCCATCACCTTCGATTCCCGCGCGAGGTCAGCTCAGTGCCGAGGCCACCCACTTGTCTGCTTACACTTTAGAGAGAGTTCCGAGGACACCCCCCCAGGGGACTGTCATCAGCCAGAGTTCCAGCCAGCTACGGAGACGCGTGCCCGGCACCCGGTCGCCTCTCCTGTCCCGGGCAGGGAGGGCACATGGGAGGCACGGGGGTACGCACATCCGTGTCAGACTAGGCTCCCAGGCTCCTTCACGGCCTTGGGGCAGTTACTGGAGGTGGATGAGGCCCCCTTCCTCCCCTTGGGGTCCCCCTGTGCTCACCCCCTGCCGCTGGCGGGCAGCAGGTTGGGCGGGCAGCATCGCACGCGCGTTAGAAGTGGCCGTACCTGCTTGCTGAGCCGTCCGCTTCTCTTTTCTCCGAAGCACTTCTCCGAGCCGTGCGACCACCAGGAGGGGCCCCGCAGTGGGAGAGACCAAGTCCCCACGTCTCCGCCTGCCTTCCTCTCCCTTCTGCTCCCCCCCAAAACCAAAAGCAGCCAACACTGTCATCCATGTGGGCCCTCCCCGTGGACGAGTGAGAGCTGGTGTGGAAACTGACTTTATCTCAGGTTCTTGAACAATGTCTCACACGACGGACAAAACCAGTGGACCAGGCCTCCCGCCC